GTTTTAGGCAAAAGAAATGCATTCGTTACTTTTGTTAAGAAAATCACTACACAATTGAAAATTATATATGAAAATTTTTTTAGATCATCTGATTTCTTTTTTAACATATCAAAGATTTTTTTCTCAATAACTATAACCCGAAAAGAGACAAAAGTCTTGTCGACGTATTCTGTCATCATTATCCAAAATAACCAGCTTGACAAATTTCATATTGTGATATTTGTGTACATTTATTTTAGGAAACTATCAGATGTTCTGTCTTGAAATGCGTAGACATCTCTTTGCAATTATACCTCAATTTGTTGTACTATCCAACTGCACTCTTGGAGAAAATGTGGCTACCTTATGTCGCTCATCACTTATGCATTCTATTCAATCGTTTGAATTTGATGAGAATCTTATTTTAACCATAAGATTTACAAATGGTCAATTATACTTCGATCAACTAAGTCGAGTAACTCATCTTCGTATATCTTTGTGGGGTTTGAATCAATGCGTCCATTTACTCAATCAATTGGGCTCACAACTTCATTCATTCATAGTAACTGTAGCAAAGGTTTTTGAGAACCAATTTGATTTAATCTCTGAAATCAGACCGGTAAGTAAGATTTTTTGATTTGACGTTCCAATGAATTTGCTAATTTAGATTTCGTGTCCCCATTTAAAACAAATGACAATGATAATGTATCATAATTTTAATAACTACCAACCATGTATTTCCCTTTTACAACGTTTGTCAAATGTTGAATATTAACCCTTTGAGTCCGATGGTAGCAAAAATGCTACACATGTTTTGTGATTATTTTTTACAGCATATGTTATGAAACTTAGTGCTTAATCTCGCACATTTACAAAGATTTGCGTGCAACAGGGGTGAAGCATCGATGTTATGGCACATACTTAACTCTATGTGTTTCTTCGTTCTCTTTCTTTTTTGACATATATATATATTAACTATGTCTATTTCTCTTTCGTTCTGTCAAGGTTTATTCCTTGATATGTTCTTTTGTTTTTTTTCCCTCTAAGTTCTTACGTTGATCGACCATATCAGGTATATTGCCAAGTATGTTATATGATGGAGTTTTCCAAAGTAATTTTTTCTATATATACCTCCAGTTTTTCTACTAAAGCATGTTTAGTTTTGTCATTTTGAAAATAAACTTATTATATATCAACTGATACCAATGTACAGGTCGGATTTCTTGCTGATTCATTTCTAGAATAGAATTCGTCGAAAAAACAGAAGTGAATGGATTCTGATCAAGAAAGCAGTACAAGTGGTTCATTGCTTGATGAACAAAACGATTTTGACGACGAGAGCGGAAGTGATCTTGAAGAAGAGGAAGATCAAGATCAAGATCAAGATGAAGAAGAATTTGAACAGAATTGGAGTCAAAAATTTACTCGAGACACAGTTTTTTCTCTAAATCAAGTGCAAGGATGAACAACCATCACTTTTACCAAGACCATCAAACCGATTGACGTCTTCAACAAATTTTTCACAAAAGATGTTATTGAATTGATGGTGAAACATACAAATATATATGGAGAGAAAAAGTCTTTAGCACAGAATCGTACAAATGATTGGCAACAGATGAATGAAAGTGCTATTCATTCTTTCTTTGGCTTACTAATCATTATGGGTTTACATCGATTGCCTCGACTAAGAGATTATTGGAGTAGAAACAAAATATTTCCTACAGAAGTGATTGCTGGTGTTATGCCAAGAGATGAATTCTACCGAATATTTACTGCGTTTCATTTAGCAGATAATGCAAAACAAGATCAATTTGAAAAAAGTTACGACCAATTCAAATTATTCAAAGTTTTCGATTTCATTTCATTACTGAAAAGAAACTTTCAAAAGAATTTTACTTTGGGAACCAACGTCTGCATTGACGAAAGCATGATAAAATTTAAAGGAAGAAGTTCGTTGAAGCCAAGGGGGAAACAGCGGAGACTTCACGACTGAAGTCTCATGAAGTCTTGAAAGTCTTTCGAAGTCTTATGAAGTCTCTTGAAGTCTTATGAATTCTCGTAAAGTCTCTTGAAGTCTCTAAAGTCTCATAAAGTCTGATGAAGTCTCTTGAAGTCTGATGAAATCTCTTGAAGTCGGATGAAGTCTCTTGAAGTCTCTTGAAGTCTGATGAAGTCTCCTGAAGTCTTTTGAAGTCTCTTGAAGTCTTCTGGAAGCTTTGAAATACATTTCGTGCATGAAAATTCACAAGAAACCAATGAATTGTCTTGTTTTCGACGGTCTTATTTTAGTAGAAAGGTGAAATTTTTATTTTTTTTTTAATGCACTGGAAAAAATTCAAGTTTGTTTGATCTTAGAAAATATGATAATTAATAAGTGAATGCTTTTTGAATGAAGTGGTTTATTTTTATAAGAATTTTTCCATCTATCCAAATCAATCTGATGAAGATTTTCAATCCTTTTTGTTTGTTTCTATCACTCATGATAATCTATCAGCCGATAAGCGGCTAACTTTGTCGGTCAATAACCAACAAGCCGTTTGCTTGTGTATAAATTTAGTCTTGTTATTTATATGCACTTGGAAATAGGAGTTTTTCATTGCTGGATTAATCGAATCGAGTATACGCATACCAGTAAAATTTATTTTCTCGGTTTTAATTTCATCAAAGTTTTGTGTCATTGCCGCATCTTTATCTTCTTCATCCACATTGATTAGATCACTATCAAATTCATTACTTTCCATTGCTTCATTATCATAATCAGATTCAGAATCTGATGAAGAATCTGAATCCGTTGCTCAATAATTATCCGAATTAATGTTGAATCTAATACTATCAGATATATTTTTACTTAAACCATTAAGTTCACAAGCATTGCATTCCTTTAATGAAGGTAATATATTCAAATTATTAACTAGTTCTTTTGCACGGTTAAATGCAGCTAAAATAATATTTTCAACGTTGATTTTATCAATATCATTCTGTTCCTAGTACTCGGAAGACGCTAGTTACTTCGTTATGAATGAGAGTGTCAGTTTATATTTACTTTTCATTTAATTTACGCGTAAATTAAATGATAAGTAATTTGTATTTATTATAAAGTACATGGCAAATGACACCCTTACTTAATGATAAGCTTTTTTGCATATTATAGAGGTTTCATTTAATTTCTATAAGTTTTTTTGATACGCACGGAATCTGCCTCTTGAAGTCTTTTGAAATCTTACGAAGTCTTGTGAAGTCTGATGAAGTTTTGTGAAGTCTTATGAAGTCTTATGAAGTCTTATGAAGTCTTATGAATTCTCATAAAGTCTTTTGAAGTCTCATGAAGTCCGTGAAGTCTCATGAAGTCTTTTGAAATCCAATAAAGTCTTCATAAGTCTTTTGAAGTCTTGTGAAAATATGAAGTCACTGCGGCTGAAGTCCGTTGAAGTCTCTTGAAGTCTTTTGAAGTCTTGAAGTCTTGAAGTCCGCTGTTTCCCCCTTGGTTGAAGCAGTATATACCTTTGAAGCCCATAAAGCGAGGATACAAGGTGTGGTGTTTGGCAGATTGCTCAACCGGATATCTTTATAATTTCAATATCTACTCTAGCAAACAAGAGAATAGACAAGAAACATTAGACGAGAATGTTGTATTGAAGCTTATTAGCAAAATTAATCTAGTAGAACACCAGTTATTTTTTGACAACTATTTTACATCGATCACCCTGCTGTTACAACTGAAAAGGAAAAAAATCGGAGCAACTGGTACAATCAGAACTGATCGAAAGCTATTTCCGAAAGAACTCTTACAAAAAGATAAACTAAAACGAGGTGAATGTAAGTATTGTACTTATAACCAAATATCAGTGGTCAAATGGCAAGACAAGAAACCGGTATTTATTTCAAGTAATTGTTTTGATCCGAGAAAAACAGAAACAGTTACTAGAAGAGAAAAAGATGACTCGAAACAAGTCATTATTTGTCCACAACTGGTATTTCAATAGAATAAATACAAAGGTGGTGTTGATAGGTTTGATCAACGAATATCTTGCTATTCAATTGACAGAAAATCCAAGCGAAACTGGTTCCGTATATTTATTTACTTTCTTCAAGCAAGTCTTTCGAATGCATTCGTCTGTTATAATGATTTGAGTGAACAGAAGATAGCTTACATAGAATTCCTCTCTTCTGTCTCCACGTCACTAATTGTTGATCAAAATTCATCGAAAACTATATATCTCGATTAGCTCACAAGCATTGATATTGATTATTTTCTAAAGTCATAACATAATCAGTTCACACTTTTTATGTTAATTATATGACGACTGTGATAAATCAGTGCATCACTATCTATAATCCTTGACATGTTGAGTATAAATTTTTATCTATGTAAAAATTAAAAACTGCGCTAGTAGAGTATTCGCAAGCATTTTTCGGCTATTCAAATTTAAATAACAGTTTTGGAGTACTTTACCTACAATAGTTGAAGTCTTGTCGTTCAACACTTTTTCCCTTTGCTAAGGAACTCTAAGAAATGAGTCTGACGTCTATTGTTCTTGTTTGTTAAAGATCTGAAGAATAGCCATTAAGTATCCGTTCGAAATGCAGAAATAAATAAGAGTTCTTTATTTTGGCATCCATTATCCTTGGAAAACAATTATAGTCTGCTAGAGATTTTTCACTTGACGTATTTTGTATTAGTATAATGAAGGTAAAGAACACATGTGAATAATACATGTCAGTTTCAAACAGGACTACACTGTCAAGTTTTCATGAATGAATTTTGATTTTATACAGCTAACGCAAGCCTTTCAACAGATAGAACAAAAACTGATATCTCATTTATTTTAGCCAGAATACTCTAGTTGAGCAAATATTGATAATTTGAAAATTTTACACAGTATTATTGATATTGACCGTTAATCATATCAAACTTTTATTGTGTTTACTTCAATTACATTTTAGGCAGACCAAGTCTGCAAAATAACGAATCAATATTTTTAAAATAAACGACAATCTTTTGAGTATAGGAAAAAAAATAACTATGAAGAAAATTTCACATATGGACAATTTAAACGTTCATATTCAGCTTTTAATTGATGCCATTGACTTAAAAGTTCTACTAATGATTGAAAATTGGGTCGTTGATTTGGTTCATAACATAAACATGGAAAAATTAATCGATTATAAAATTGATTTGAACATTTCAAAGGTTTTTTATGAACATATCCACTAAGTACAAGTGCTCGTATTGAAGCAAATTCTTTTTCATCTTGATAAGGATCATCACCTTTTAGCCAAATTTCAATTAATACAATACCAAATGACCAAACATCAGATTTTATTGAATAAGCAGTTTCATTATCAAGTACCTCTGGAGCTGTCCAACGAATAGGTATTTTTTGAAAATAAGCTTCTTTACGTTGTACAAAATCATCTTTATTCACAAATGTCGAAAAACCAAAATCAGCTATTTTAATTGTATTTCCTTTAGCACTTATTAAGAGATTTCTACAAGATAAGTCTCGATGTACACGTAATTTTTGTTCAAGAAATGACATTCCACGACATATATCATATGCAAATGAAACAACAGTATTTTCATCAAGTACATTTGTACAAGATTTCAACCAATTTTTTAAATCTCCATCTTTTATTAACTCTGTTACAACTAGTGTTTCATTTGTTAGGAAATTTTGTGCAACACCATATAGAGCAACAATATAATTATTTCTTAATGCTTTCAGTGTTTCAATTTCACGAATAAAACTATCTATTGTTGATTTATCATGTCGTAATGGATGTAATTTTTTAACTGCAACCGGTATTGTACGATTACCATTTTGCCACAATGCATGCCACACTTCTCCAAATTCACCTTCACCTATACGATACTCCAGTGTTAAATGACGTATTGGAATATGCCATAGATCCTCTTCAAATTCAATTCGAAATGGTAATATTATTGATAATGGTACGACATTCAGAACATTTTGATCATGAATAAGTTCTCGAAATGAACTAAAAAACATATGATTTAATTTTGATTCTTGTGCAAAATAAAAACAATGATTTAATGGATCAATACATATTAAATAATGCCAATCTTCAGCATTTCTTTGATTCGATATTTGAGATATACTTAAAACAAATGCATTAGATTCAGTATTACTTCGACGTATGAGATAAGCACCAGGTACATTATATTGTAATAAGCATCGTTGTATAACACCTCGATCAGCATTATGTAAACGTAATGGTGTTTTAGAATCAAGCCGTAAACGTTTTTTATGTATTGTAGATTCAGTATTTGTACGTAAATGAATAACACGTAAGTATTTTTCATCAATTTTCTTAATTAATTCAAATTCATCACCTTCATCATAAAAAAATTGTCCGTTGATAGTTTTACTACATCGAGCTCTATAAATTGGCTTATACAATTGTACATATTTAGTTTTTTTATGGTTTAATGAAGTCAAATCTCGTGTTGATCGAGCTGATGTATATTTAGTATTCTTTGATATTTTAGATCCTCTTGATGGTGAAACTAATCGAGTACCATTAGTAACTTTATGAGATTCGAATCGGATTGGTAAAGAGATGAATGAATGATGTCTACGAGAATTTTCTTCAAATAGACTGTGACTATCTTTACTCATTAATGAATATTAAAAAAACCAAAAAACCAAAAAAGTTTATTTTAATAAAAGAAAAGACATGTGTGTATGTGGTTTTATCTTTTTTAGATTAATAAAACTTTTATACAACTGAATTGAAGATAAACAATTGATAAGAACTGAAGCAACGAGATGTCTTCTATATAGATACAACGTTACTTGCTAATATCTTTCTAGATACTCTGGTTGTCAACCTTCTATTGTATATATAATAAAACATTAAAAAAACTGAAAATAATTATCAAGGACAACAAATAAATAGCTTTATTTAAATGTTTATTATAAGAAATTAAAAAGATGCTAATAATCTAAACAATCAAATCTTGCAGAAAATTATGTTTTGTCAGTGTTTCTGTTTTGATTAATTGTAATAAAAAATATGTGTTCGAATTCTGCAAACTCATATTGCTAACGAATGATTTTGTCCATGTATAAAGATAATAATATTCGATCTTGTCATAATCTGTTGAAAATCTTAGTGAAGCTTGTATTTGAATGTAACATAAACTTTCAAATTCTATTGATTTTCAGTGTTTAAATAAGACATGTTATTTTAATTAATTTAAGAATATCTCTTCGAGATTATGAAGAAAGTCTTTTTCGTAAGAGAGGTATTAGGTAAAGAAAACTTGCCTACTTTTGAAATAATGAAATCTTGTATGCATAACTCGAAAAAAAAAGAAACAGATTCGCTTCAACAACAACTTTTTATTAAAAAAATTATTTACAACAAAGAAAAAAAAAACAAAAGTCGTTAACATATTTTTAGCTCATTTTATAAACTAATTTATTTTAAATAGACATTTTTTATAATTTGTGGTGTAACAATAACACTTGAAACCAATATTTTAATTGAATCCTTTCTAAGTTAAGCATAACATTTATTTATTCTTATTAGATATTGTTTTCAAAACAGCTTTTTTGTGATTAAAGTGATAGATAATAATATTCAGAAAAAGCATAAGGTATATTTGATAAAACAATAAATTCTAATAGAATAAAAAACATGTTTACTTGTTATAAATTCATCACGAAACGTTTGAAACGATTCTAACAAGCATGAATATAAAATAATCAATCGTCCGATGTTAATATATTGAATATAAAATACTAGTGTGACATATACATAAAATTTTATCAATAATTTCTAATAATAATGAGTACATCAAAGTACGTGAATATAAATTCGATTCTTTTTCATCTATAAATGGTCATTGCATCACTATTTCATAAAAATGTGTAAGAATAACTCATACAATATTTATATTGATGACACAGTAGGAAACCATCTTGAATGGTATAAATTTCAATTGAAAAGTTCTACAACAATAAGTTCAATAGCTAATTATGTAAGTGATAGCATAGCTGTGTGGTTCATAAGAATAACAACACTAGCTCCTATTATATGACATGCAATAAAACAATAAGAAGAAACTTGAATGCATTTATTGAATTCTATACAACATAATTAATATTCATAATCATATAACTATTATTGTAATTAAATCTGTACAAAAATGAATTCTTTGGAAAAAATATCATAATTTATTGAACTTATATTATTTAACAAAAAGAAACATGTGTCAACAAAATATATATTTTCGATGATTGCTTCACTAATCAAAAAAACAACGTCGAATGTATGGATAAATGTTGATAAATTCAAACATACATATTATTGACAAATGTTGAAAATTCAGTGATTTAATGCCTGTTAATAAAACACATATGGTTATTTAGAATTTTACTTATATCTCTCCAAAAAACGTATCCTATTTTTTGTTTAATTACATAATTATCGAATAGTTGTTTACTAACATTTACATCATGGATACCGGTATGTTTCATTTAATAAATGTCTACGACTGTTTAAAAACAAAAATTTACACATGACACTCTGTTCGAATATATCACATGATAAAACATTATCAAATATGGAATAAAAATTCGACGAATAATATTTACTAAAAAAATGTTTTTCTTTGACGATCATTTTGTGAAATTATTCTATTGAAAATGCAAAAACATACATAATATGAATTAATTTTAAATAAATATACATAATTAGTATGTAACGACGTCACGTAAACTTATGTCAATTTTATAGATTATTTAATTGCTAAAATGAAGTACGCGGTATTTTTTAGAGTCAAACATATAAAGATAACAAATTGCATAATTCTTTTTTCTATCCTATTATTCAGATATTGATAGAGGGAGAACTGTTAAATTAGAAAAGATTCTATTTTTCTGTAACAGAATTGCCCGTACGAATACCATGTTATAAAACGAATAAGATAAACATTCCAATATATACAAGTGTCTAGTGATTATCTGACTTAGTAAAATTAAAAAATACAAAAAATTTTCTTCGACGATGGTTAAAATATCAATAATAAAAACTAAAACATATTCGGATTCATTCGAAAGATTATTTTTTTTCCACCTTCTTTCTAAATAAGAGTGATGTATACATGATTCTCATCATGGGGTTTGCCTATCAAAATCTCCCCTTCCCGCATAGTTTATACGGGTTTGACCTGTCTGTTTTTTTTTATCGAAAAAACTTGAGTTCTTTTCTTTTTTATTCCATAGATTCTGTAAATATTATTACAGAATAAGAAAACAGTAATACATGACACAAGACTCATAATTCTGTTATTTAAACAGTGAAGCGAAAAGTCCAACGATATAATAAATACCTGATTTTATGAATAAATATATTAATAATACAATAAAACTGATACATAGCTATAATATTCATATTTTATTGACTATTAACTATTAATATTGCCAATTGACATCAACTATGGTAAATTTTACATTTATTTTATTGTAGAAATAAATGATATAAATTTTGTCCAAAGATATAAAATTTTTGGATAGACTGAGTGACACTTTTTCGTTGCCAATAATGTATACATCTTACCATAGAGATTCTTATTTTCTTTTTAATCGATTTTTGTATATTCACTTGAAAAATATTTTTTTCAATAGAACCATTTATTTTATAAATAAAAAAACGAAGAATTAGATTTAACTTTAAAATGTACATAGAAAAGAAACTGATATTATTATGAATCATTTCATAAATCGTAGTCATACATTTTTGAACGACACCTTGAAAATGGGATTAAATTTCTTTTTTTCTTCACGCCAAAAGGTAGCATTGTACTTAATATAGATCTGACTTCGTCCTATAAATATTTTCAAAATGATGTGTAAGAAAGTTAACATTGATTTTCATATTAAAGACAAGATAAATTTCTTTTTTTTTGTGTATTTTTCTGTGAAGATAGATAACTAAATATATTGACGTATCTCGTTAATCATATTGTTGTCTTTAAAAAGTCAAAGAAAAAAGAAACCGAAGTCATTAGATATTTAACAACACGTAGATCCCAACAGCTTGACATTTTTTATTATACTTTTTCTTTCTGTCAAATATCTTTATAGAATACTTTTTCCACCTCCATTACTATAAACCAAACGCGATAGAACAGGAAATTACAATGGATCGCCCTCTAACAAGTAATAGTCATTCATCAAAATAAACCATATTGTATACCAAATGAGCATCTACAATAAAGTAATAATCAACACCTATGCTTTCTATGTCTCAAAAAGAGAAATTGGATGTTTTTCATCTTTGACATGAGTTAAACTAATGCTTTTACTGTGATGTGTACGTTTGATTGTTGTATTTTGTCCATCAATGTTTTTTTTCGTCTATATTTATTTAAAATATACATGAAAGAAAAAAATAAATCAAGAATTGCTGAAGTTTTATGTGCATCTGATTTTATGTATATTATTTGTTTTATTTCCATAGATTGATAAATCTAATTTAGAATAGGATAAAATAGAACATATTTCAAATATCTATATTTTTTTTCTTTTTTTCTTTTTCTTGATTCAAAACTTCGAGTAGTGCATAGTCGAAAACAAATACAGAAAAAAAAAGACTTCAAATCAATTTTTCTCTTTCCGTCCTTTCTTTATTTTACTCTCTCAGAGGACAATGGTTTTGTTTGAAGGTGAATAGTTGGAGGCGAGGGTGAAATAAGGAACATCAAAAAAAAAATAGAGCGAAAAAAAATAGAATTTAGAAGGCTACATGCTCATAATATTACTCTTCATTCAATCAGTACGTGTTTGACGGAACTTGGAGTGTTCTATCATCAAAAACATATATACACAAAGAAATATACGTGATAGGTAATATATATATATATTATAATTGTACTGTAGTCATATGGAAGTTTATAAAAGGTTTGAGTTGAAACTATTTTAGTGAAAATAAGAGAACATATTTTTCTATCTTTTTGTTAGTAGTTGAGATATTTGTTATGTTATAGAATATCTTTTGTGGAAATGTACGATTGTATCAGAAAGTTGAAATTAATTTCTCTTGTCTAGCTTTCGTAATATTTCTTTTTTCTTGTAACACACAATCGATTCTATTCGATATAAAATATTTTATTGCATATTTCAAAAAAAAAATAGCATGAAACCTTATAAATACAATGAATTCGATGCAATATATATACCACTACTGTTTTCGTCTAGAAAAAGAAAAATTTTTTTAGTTTAAATAAAGTACAAAAAGCATAAGTTCATTGAAGTCTTATCAATGTCAAACATAAAGAGAAGTCTCTTATTGACGGCAAGAATAGAACTTGAATATTTAGATTTCTTTTTTTTTTCTCTCTCTCTCTCTCTCTTTTCTCTTCTTACCGTTTTTTTTACAGTATTATCTGTCGTTGATGTGATGCTTATCATATCTCATGCAATGTTCTCTAAAAGAAACGTTCAGTTTTCTTTTTTTCTCTTAACATTCATATTCATTCAGCGGATAGCAACGCACTGTCTCACCGTTAGAACACCTTCTATAAAAATGACGATGATGATGACGACTGTGTCACGATAGAAAGAGAAAAGGAAATTTCGATTCCATCTATGTTCTCGTTATATATATATATGTGTGTGGGAAAGACCATAATTTCACGAAGATAATTACAGAAATAAACTATATGCATGCCACAATGATTTTATGAGATTAAATCATTGATTTTTAGTTTATTTATTTAAATGTATAGTTATTTTATTTATTGATTTTTATATTTAGTTAAAACTTCGTCGAAAAATGACATCAAGATCATCATTCCAAATCCAGTCATTACGTGCATCAAGTCGTGCAGCAGAATCACCACCATTAAACAATCATAAAAATAGTGAAAGTGAAACTGTTTTAGTGGCTAAAAAATTAAGTTGTGTTAGTTTGGCTGAACGTGAAGAACGACAACAAACACTTGATCGTTTAGAAATTCTTAAAACAGTAAGAAAATATTCCAGTTCCCCTATCATTTTACACTGAATATATAAATAAGCAGCAACACAAGCAGAGAAAAAAAAATTAAAGGAAATCAAAAGGTTTTTTTCCACGTGTTTTTCATATTGTTTTTTGAAAAGTTTATTTATATACATGGCTTAAGGATTCTTTATACCTGAATAGTTTTTTTAGTGTCAGTTTAATATAAAGCTGAACGTGACTTTTCTCTTGCATAAAAGCAAAAAAAAGGTTCTTTTTTGTTTTAAAAAGCAATTAACATCAAATAGATAATTGGTCGGGTTTCATTGAACTATTCGGTTAGAAATAAATTCATCATGTATGGGTTGAACAAAATTTACTTTTTTTTTTGCTTTTTCTTGAATAAGTTAAATCATAACAACAACATTTTTAAATTGTCAAACGACCGTAATCATATTTTGATAGATGCTTTCTTTTATTTAAATATTTTATAATAAATGTCAAATGCAGGAAAAATTAAGCTTGTCCTTTAAAAACATTGAATGTGTCTTTATACAATTGAAATATCTAACGTTACTAAAGATATTGTTTGGAATATATATTAATAATCGTTTGTAACATTGAAATGTGGTTTTTTAAAAACTAACTTCAGTCATCTGTTTGAAAAGAGATATTTTCAAAGGTAAAGATCAGCTATCATATGTTATGAAACATTGAGTATTTTTTTTTAAAGCTTTTAAAAAAATTACAGTCAACTTATGTAGCGGATGAAGGTAGGATGTGTCGTATTGAGGAAATTACTAGGTTTTAGCTATTAATAAAAATTATTTACGGATTTAAATTAATTAGAAAAATAAAAATAGGTCATTCGAAGATTTCTTCATTGTGTAACCAATGAAAATCGTACTTAGTAACTTTGCAACGTGCAGTATTTTAATAACTAGCAATTGGCAATCTGTTTAGAGATACTAATTTTATCTTCTCTGTATTAGGTCTGCAACTAGAATTTCCTCTTTTTTATTATTTCTATTTCCGTGCGTAGAATATTGTCAATATATAGGACGTGTCAGAGTGTTGTCGAAACTTGAGATTTCTGAAGTAATTAGTTTTCTACAAGATAAGTTATTCGTAGGATTTATATCACTTATAGTTGCAATTTCATTACAGTTTTATGGTGAACTAGATTCCTGTTTAGTCGAAATTCTCTGTAAAACTTCAATAAAAGATCAAATTGTAAATATTGTGCCTCTATCTTATCTTGTAGACAACAATATGTCCTACAATTCTATACTTAAAAGGCATGTTTATGAGCTTTCTCCTCCAGTGCTTTCTGTCACTTTTAAGAATAAGAAAAAGAAGAAAAAAATTGAATTTTCATTTTCAATGCATGTCAACATTGAATAATTATTTTAATTGAGATTCTAGCTTACATGTCCTTCTAGAGAAAAATTCTTTAATCACGCTTAAATTTTCATCTTAGTTTATCAGTTGTTTACATACTTGAGATTTCATTTTATTTTCATAATTGATGATAGAGTTGAATTTAATTAATAGATAAAATAATGATGAAGAATCCGATTTACTTTGTAGGTGGGTACTGGTTCATATGGTCGTGTAGTTGTTGCTCGAGATCGTGAAACATCTAATTATTATGCATTAAAAATATTTACTATCAATCATGTTGTACAATCACGTCAAGTAAAATATTATTAAAAAAATATATAAAAAATGATTAGTTTTAATTTTAGATCGAACATGTTAAAAGTGAAAAAGAAATTTTATTAGCTATAAAACATCCATTTATAATTCGTTTATATTGGACACATCATTCCGAACAATTTCTTTATATGCTTCTTGATTATGTACCTGGTGGTGAATTGTTTACTTATATGAGAAAAAAAGGAACGTTTGATCTTAAAGCTTCCATATTTTATATTAGTGAAATAACACTTGCATTTGAATATCTCCATTCACTACAAATTGTTTATCGTATGTTTCTTTTGTTCTAAAACATTTTTTTTTAATTTCATTATTACAAAACAAATAGGTGATTTGAAGCCTGAAAATATTCTACTTGATGGTGAAGGTCATGTTAAACTTGTTGATTTCGGTATAGGAGAAAAAAAACTTATAATAGTAAAACTAACTTTTATATATATGTATTTTCTTTATTATAAAGGTTTTGCAAAGAAAATCTTAAATAAAACATTTACTACATGTGGTACACCAGATTATTTAAGTCCTGAATTATTTAAAGGTACAGGACATAATAAAAGTACTGATTGGTGGAGTTTAGGTATTTTATTATTTGAAATGCTTAGTGGAGGTAAGATAATAGAAGAGAAAAAATCTTTTTTTGGAATATTTGCAATTTTTTTTAATATTCTCAGTAACACCATTTAATCCCAATCAAAATGAAAGTGAAATTCCCAGTCGTGTATTAGCTGGTCGAATAACATGGCCACGTACAATAGATGAAACATCAAAAGTTTTTATTAAAAAATTATTAGTTCAAAATCCTGACAAACGTCTTGGTGCTGGTAGAAATGGTTCGCGTGAAGTAAAAGAACAACCATTTTTTGCACCAATTAAATGGGATGATGCTTCTGCAAGAAAATTAAAACCACCTATTGTACCTGCTGTTCAACATCCAGGTGATACATCGTGTTTTGATCAATATAAAGAAGATTGGCGATCAGCACCATTTGCATCGGACAAAGAACTCGAATTATTTGTCGATTTTTAAGGAATAGAGAAAAAATGTAATTTTATTTTTTATTTTATTTTATTTTATTTTGTGTATGTATATGCAAAGCCAGTGAATAACAAAAAAAAAATATATATATATAAGGGGTTTCCAAAAAGTTCTGAAAGAATATTAAAATTTACTGTGCTCACATTCAACAAAATCAAACTCTTCGAATCTTGGTTGTACCTACTTACGAGAAAAATCCTCCAAATGATAAATCGTTTTTAATTACAGAGATACTGCACTTTTACGATATCTTTTAAATAAATACTTTGGTTTTTCCAAGCAGGAACACCAGAAAAACTTGTTTTTGAGTTTTGAGTTGAAATTTTGTACAGAGACAGGACTTAACGAGAATAGTTTTTTGTGTATATTTCAAGTCTTTTGACTTGCTTCTATTGTGATATAAGAACATCAAATCTATCAGTAATATAAAAGACATGCTATTACCATAGTTATTTCTTAAGATAGGAACAACGAAAAGATCTGAAACTTTCACAAGAAACCATTCTCGTTGAGACCTGCTTCTGTAAAAAGTTTCAAGTCAAAAATTTGAAAATCAGCTTTTCTGTCATCATAGGATGCATATTAAAAAATACCGTAAAAGTGCAATATCTTTGCAGCAATAAACTAAAGATGCATACTCTTTTCAAGGTATTCATAGCTTATTTGAGTCTATATAATTGAAATAGTCTCGACTCAACTTTTCTAAGAAGACACGATAAACTTTCAAAGAGTTTGTTTTTTGTTGGATGTGGAAACGATGAGTTTTAAAATCGCTTCAAAACTTTCTGAGACATTTCTTATGTTGAAGTGTTCAGTTAGAAATGAATTTTAACTTGATTTTTTTAATGAAGTTTTCTTTGATATTGTTGATGTTTGAGTTTTTTCATTCAAACGTTTAATACCATTTTCTGTTTGAGCATACCAATTCTATTGATTCGATATAATTAAATAAAATATATCTATCTTATTTCTTACTTTAATTTTATTTTCTTCATCAATAAAAATGGGAATCTTTGTACCAAGTATAGAAATAAAATCATTTGCTGTACAGATCTTATTGGAGTATTTATTTTCATGTTTGAAGTTGATTACTTTATCAATTGTTTCAAGAATTTGTCCAACTGTATAGCCATCTGATATTGATGCTAATATACTTAATTCAACATCATTGATATTCATGTTATATTTCTCAATTAAAGTTTCATAAAAAATTTCTATAAATAATACAAAAACAAAAGAATGTTTTATTTTCCTTAACGATAAGATAATTTTTACTGCGTCTTGATCCATAATTTGGTCGTGGAAATAGAATAATATGTTCATAGATTTGTAACAATGGTTTTATTCGAGCACGATATGGTTGACATGATGTACCAATAAACATAATACGTTGGCCAGGTTTAATTTTTTTAATAAATTTACCTATTGTACGTCTGAATCGACTTGGTTCAAATGCTTTTTCTTGTGGTGTTAGTTTTTTTGAGAAAAGTACTTCTGTATCACGTATCATACAAAGAACTGGAGGCATCGTTAATACCAGCTATGATGAAAATGCAAAGAAAAACAAGTTGACTATATAAAAAAAACACTCATCATACCCGTTTAATCATTGCAAAGAGTACTTTGAGGCCACCAGCTACAAAAAAATAAATTTCAAATATATATTAATTTTTTTCTCTAAGTTGTGCTTATATAGTATTTCAAAAAGAAACTATAGTATCATTTTAAATAAATGTTCTCGTGGTTTCATCTTGGATTTTATCTTTAACAATTTTTTAATTCAATTCTATATATTTTCTATTACATATTATATTACAGAAGACCTGTCTGTTATAAGAAGAATATCATTTTTTATATACATGTTATACGACACTGACGAATGAACATTTTCAACTGATCAATCGATTTCTCACCGAAAGCTAATAGATTGTAGATTATCGGTGATACTAATTTTGAATATGATCATAAGAGATCTTCTTATGTCTTCATACGCTGATTATCTAGAAAATCATTTTTCTAGACTAACAAACTTTTCAGCAAAAATTCTTTTTAATTTATCCAGACTATACATCATACTGAATCACCTAGAAAGCTGTGATTCTCTCTGTTCCAAATCGCTTCTCTTTAAAGAAGATACAACTATTTTACTTCACACAACAGATACATATCAATATTTTACTGTAAAAAACCCTCAACATGATATTATTTTACTTAAAACTCATTTTTTGACAACAAAATAGATTATTTGAAAACCAGGACATCAAGACCTAAAAAAATTTTTATGATCATATTCAAAATCAGAATGTTCGGTAATTCATATTCGCATAGTTTTTTTTGTGGGAAAACGCTGAATCAGTTGAAAACTATGCCTCTTAAGCTATTTGTTGAAAAAAGTAAATGTGAATTAAAGGTTAGTAGATTTTAATGTACCTGTATTAAATGATTTGGCAATATTTGCTAGTGATAGATCCAGCAAAAGACCACCCAATTCATTACATGCAATATGTACAAGTAATTCTTTGCCACTACCACGTGGCCCAGCAAGAAGAACGGCTTTACGTGGTGGTATGCTAAGATGAACGTTTTGTGAGCCTGTCTTTATAAAAAACAAAAAGAGTGTACAAAAAAAATCGTATATTTGTTTATTTATATAATTACAAAGAGGAAAAATAATTTGTAGAATGACAAGTTGTTGACAATCGAGTAAAGATGGCATTGGTTCTTTTTCATTATAACGCATTATTTCAGTTAAATATTGATAATCACCAATAAAGTCTTGCTGATGAACTGATTTTGTAGGTAAAATAATACCTGTTTCAACAAGTTCTTCAAAGATCGAATCATTTGTTCTACATTGAAATTCTACATTTAAGTGAACCATTAATAAAAACTTATTTCTTACCTATTAGCAACAATATCTTTAACTTTTTTACTTCGTTTTTTTCTTTTTTTTTTCTTTTTTAATTTTTTTGTTTGTTTATCTTCGACATTATCAATTGCTAATTTCAAATAGATTAATTCATTACGAAGAATACTATCAACATCATGTCTTATTTCATTTTCAACTTCAGGTCGAAAATCATCTATAGCTAATAATGTATCATAATGTTGTTCTTTATTATATGATTCATCTCGTTCATAGAATAATTCTTTATAGATATTCATTTGATCATTAATAACAGGAATGAATTTTGATGATTCTAATGCGTTCATAGTTTGTTTCTAGAAAATAGAAAATCATGTAAAACGAAGAAAGAAGTATTTTTCTTTTCTCTTTTTTGAATTACTTGTTTTGTTGACTTCTTTTTTAAGTTTTTTACTGGTTTTTTAAATTCTTTTCGCTTAGTTTTTCTATTTTTTAATGTTTGAGCTTGCTACTAAAATTGAGAAGTTATAAGGATTATGTTCGACGCATTAGATTGTGTTTCTAGACCTTGTCGACAAATTCTTGAACTTCAGCTATTGTCATTTCTTTGAAAAGTGTAGCTGAACCATTCAGTTCATTTGATGGATAAATAGGAAATTGACCATAGAGTTGTCGTGATTCTAGTAACCATTGAATAAGAACATGTTCCATACGTGATTTAACTTCAGTTTCCTCATATTGACGAATTTTTTGCTTGATATAATTCGACGCTTCATCGAATTGTTGATGATGTTGCAATTGTAAATCACGTCTCTTCTTATCTTTACCATCGAAACTATTATCAATTTGTAGTTTTCTTCGAGGTAAAATCTGAAATGATCAATAATCCAGACCAAAATCAGTCACGTTCAGAAATGTGCGGGACCTAGCACTTTTATTCCCTTTCCGACAAAGTCTTTTCTAGTGTGACCTCGGTCCCGATGATTTTAGTTTTTCGGGTTGGAACATCGGTCTAGAATGAGTATCATTTTTAGTCGGAAAAAAGCTTGACGAGATCCTGAGAATATGACGAGTGCACATCTGAAATCCGTTTTTCGAAATTCAGCAGCGTTCGGGAGATGTAAATAATGCCAAAAATGATAATTAACAGCTGTTAGTTTCCTTATATGGAAATCTACGATTCAGATTCATTATGATTTCCTCTACACAAGTCTTGGATATAGAAATAGTAGATGTCGTATAGGACTAGGTTTTGATATTTTTCGGGCTCTGCAGTCAGCCGACGTTTCTAACCAGCCAGAGGCCGGCTAGAGGTCTAGTTTACTATTGAAATTGAGCTTTGGTTCTGACCACCCGAATTAATTCCGTTCATCTCTACTCATGATTCATCGATATTGAAAGAGAATATGCAAGAGTATTAAAAATGAATAAAATAATGTAGATTCAAAGTGTTATGATTAATGAAGAAAACAAACATATAATAAAACATAATCTTTCGTACCATGCCTAACAATTTTGCATTTTCAGTCTTTTTTCTATCAAATAGTTTTTCAGCATATTTTTGTCTCCATATTGTTTGAATAATAAGACAACTATCACCGAGATTATTATCATTAAGTGACTTCATTTCTTTAGTTTTTAATTCATTTTTCATTTGGCGCATAAAATATGCATGTACACGACCTTGACGAGCACGTTCATGTGCTTGAAGAACATGTAGAACAGTAGCTAATGGAATTACATTAGTTTGATAAGTTTTTAATGTTAATAAAGAATCAAATGAAGATTTTATGGAAAGATCATTTTTTGATTGTTCTAGACGATCAAGAATCATTCTTATAGTATGATTTCGTTGTTCTATTGCTTTAAAACGATCTTCAGCAAAATAACGAGGTATTTCAATACATAAGTCATCCTGTTACAAAAACAAAAACGATAATTAATCTCTCCTATCAATATTTGTAAGCTATCTTTTGGTTTTTTTTACTAATGTTTTATTCTGATCAAGTGCCAAATCTTCAAAATATGTATATTCACAACAATCAAATTTGATCATTTCTTGTTTTAGTTCTATTAATCGTCCAACAATACCATCAAGTAAAATACGTATAATTAAACGTTTTTGTGGATGAATTAATGTTTGATAGATTTCATCGAGCTTTTTCATAATATCATTATATTTAATAAACAATTGACGTACGTAATCGTTAGCTTTACGCTTACTATCGAAACCTTTCGGACCAAATACTTCAGATGTAAGTAAACGTGATAATTGAATTTGAGTATTAGTCCATAGTGTTTGGACATATTTTTGTGACATTGACTATGAAGTAATTATGAAGAGCGCCATTAAATTAAAATGATAGAACGTCTAGTTTTTATACAACATAAACAAAACTTTTTATTCATAGATTTCAAAGTTGCTTTGTTGATGAACTAAGTATAATTTTTACTTGATATTGTTGAATTCATTCTCATCGGATCAGTAGATGATACAAAGTTAAAAGAATAAAATGTCATGAACAAAAAATGAAGTTATATTTTTGAATTTCAAATGAAGTCATATCATTCCTGTTGCCGAACACTTGATTGCTTTTTATGTGCAATCTATTCATTTCCTTTCATTAAGATATCTTTGAAAATTTTCTTTTTTCGATTTCTGGAAAAATCTCTTCGCATAATACTATGATTAAATAAACATCGAGAACCTTCAATGAATTCCACTTTCAAAGAGAAATATATAATGGCAAGAAACTTGGAATAGGTATTTGCATAGAGTACGCTACTACAGGATTCTAACCGACAAGATTTTGGTTAGTTATTTCTATCAACCAATCATTTTTTTCTATTGTTGATTACTTACTATGAATGTTCTGTTTACAATCATTTCTCTCATCATTGACATGTGTCTTCATTACTTTCAATTCAATTTTTGCTTTAATTAAATAATAAAAAAACAAAAACAAAACATAATTCAATGTAAATATATTTCGTCGTTCATATTTAGATTAAGCAATGAGTTCTAATGAGGTGCCTAGTAATGAGAATGGCGATGATAAATCGTCGATGCCTTCTACTCCGACTACAACCGGTGAATACAATCGTACATTTTCACAAGATTTACGTCATCTTGATGATGCTCTTACATACGCCATTGATCAATTGACAGTGTTTAATCGTGAAATTATGTCTGATCTATCTCTGAAATATGAATTAATGCGTACCAACGAAGTAAGTGTTAAAAATATCTTTTTCTTGTTTTTGTTAAATAATTTTCATGCTAAATATAGAGTCGTGTAATTGGTTTTTTCGCTCGTCAACAATTAATGTTATCACAATTGCCAAAAACCAATAATCAAAATGGTGGATTTCATAGTGAATATTCCAAACTTGATCGATTTTTATCTGTAATTAATCTCAATAAAAAATCGATTGAAGTAAATGAAATTCCTATTTTTATATAATTATTATAAGTATTGATATACAATATGTATTTTTTTATTTTAGTATATTGCAAAACGTATGACATTTGATGATTTATTAAATGGAAAAGCTACTATCCGTGAAAAACTCTTATACGATGCTGAAACTACAGAAGCTGAACGAAAAGATTTTCGTAATGCACTTAATGCATTAAAAGACTGTATTGGTATGTATATTTGTTTTTCGTATTAGCTTATTTGAAATTTAAAATTGTCTATAGATTATTTTTCTCATGGTGGTACTAATGATAATGGACGTTTCTATTGGCATATTGAAACACCACCCCCAACAACAGTTACACCTTATTCTATTCGTCAACATCGTTTGTCAGATACTGGTAAAATTTTCTTTTTCTCGTTCAAGGTTAACTATTAAATACAAAACATTTTCTTAATGATTATAGCACTATCAGTACCACTCAACACAGATTCAGGACGATCACCATCTGTATCTTTATCTCTTTCGACTGAATTTGGAGCTGTAAAAAACAATAACAATCAAACAACAATAACATCATTACCACCTGTAACACGAAATAATTGTGAGAATATTATTATTGAAAAAGATTCTTTATTCTTTTTTCTTTTAATTTAGTCACTCATATGCCTCCACCATCTCGTTCCACTCATTTATATGTTAATGGTAAAGGAAAATGTGAACATCCAAGTAAGAAAAGTTCTGTTGATCCATCAATATTTGCAAAGTAAGAATAAAAAAAAACAAACAAAACAATTATTTTTCTTCAAAAAAACTTGTATTCCATGTTTTTCTTCAACTAGTGTTAATCCATCACGTAGTATAGATCTACAGATACCTGATGGTGGTTCAGCATCTCGTCGAAGTTCTTATGGTTCTGATACAGAAAGTCAATTGCCATCTGGTATGATATGATTCTTATTATTTAGAAAAAAACCTAAAAAGAAAAGAATTTCATTAACTATCTTTTAGCTTTAAATGGTTGGTCATAGAAAGATCGGAAGGAAAAATGTCGAAACTAGGAAAATATTTAAAAAAAAATTATTTCTTTAGGGTACATATTGGTTGTAGGTAAAGAGAATATTAGGAACCACACTCCATATCCCTTATGTCAAAAATAAATAATATCTTGTTAGCTGAAATTTTCGATATTTTTCCCTTGCACATCTCTTGAATTAATTTTTCAAAATACCAAAATTTAATTCGAATACTTTTGCTTTATTTTGCTTTTTAAAGTTTAAATGAATATTGTTTGAAAAAAATATTTTCAATTTCTTTGTTATTATTAACAAAATAATTTTCTTTCTATTAGAATTTGAGCACAGTCTTAAGAATGAAACACTCAATCTTTCTCATAATTTGGCTGCACGTAAGATTGCTATGGCTTCATATAAGAATTACTATCATTCAAATTCAATGCCATCATCAATAATGAAACAACAAACAAGATTAGATTTTATTGGAAAAATTATAAATAGTAATATACAGTTAAATTCAGATAATAATATAAATGATGAAAATAAAATTATATCAAAACCTACAAAAAAACGATTTTGGGATAGATCTTTTTCTAAAGATGGTTAGCACAATGATTTACGCTACTTGCTCGGATAAGGTTTATATAATTATATGCTTCTACATGCTAACGATTGATTAATATAATTCTTGAGATTTTTATTTTATTTTTTTCTAATTTTGCTATTATGAATAGGTACAGCAACACCTAATTCACCAACTATACGTTCACCTACAATGCCCGGTTCACCAATGGGTTCAGCATGTAATAGCGATACTGAAAATGATCCAAAAACCTCAAGTTAGTCATGAAAAAATTTCGTTTATTTTTCTATATGTAAATAACAAATATTTTTTTCAAAATAGGTATCCCCATTTACAATATTCATTCTCCTATACTCGGACATCGAATGGCACATAAAATTCAACACAAGTTCGTATTGAAATTCATTTTATGTTGTGCTCATACTCACGCTTTAGCTTACTTCTTTCTCATATACACACACATACATATATATATACACGCATATATTCACATAAACGCTCTGTATCATTCTATCAATTGATTTAATATTGTATTTCTTCATGTGGTCTAACTTTTTTATTTAATCTTGATGATCTTCACTGTTATTGTGTTGTTATTCAGTTTTGGTAATCATTTTAAATGTAATTGTTTGTATATGACAACGACGACAATATTGTTTTCTTTTTTCTCTCTATCTTATTCTCAGGTGGAGTAATCTGATGAAATTATCAACATGTAATATATGTTCAAGAAGAATCTTCTTTCTCGGTGTCAAATGCAATTTTTGCAAGTAAGATTTATTAAACATGGTTCAAACAAATTTTTTTTCTAATCAGAACTTGCGTATCACATTAAGAATTCATTTCTGTTCTCAAAGATATTTCATTCATCATCCTTCTTGTATTTTATTTTATTTTTCATCTTCTCTGCTTTCTGCGCGCCTGCAAGCATTTCTCGGAATAAGAGAAACAATAACTCCACAGAAAGAAAAACGAAATGTTCTTCTTTTATATTATTCTTCTAGGTTTGACAGGACACGAGTATTCAAATTTTCCTTTTGTGACGTCTGTAAGAGACAGGTGTTTCGAGGAAAAGCATGTCTTCATTGCAAGTAAGATACTCGAATATGCACCTTGTCACTGACAATTAAAAAAATAAAATAAAAAGCATTTAGCATGATTATAGAATGGCATGATATTTTCCCTGATCGCAGATGATTTTTTTTTTTGTTACTTTTATTGAAAATTTTTCCTTTTTTATGATATGAATATGTATATTCATTTTCTTTTAAAAAAGATACAAATGCCATAAAGAATGTGTTTCAAATGCTCCGGCTAATTGTGGTTTTAGTGAAGGAAAATTTCGACAAGTTATCGATAATACTGATATTCAAAATGCTTTTGGTAAAGAATTATATATGATAGTATTTTTTATTCTTTTTCTGGATCTTTTAGTTAATTCCAGCCCATCAACACGAAAATATCATTTTACTCGTACGTTATTCTGTCTCACATATTGTCTTAAATAGACATTTATTTTTAACTATTATTATTACTTTAGCGTCTGATAGCACAAGTCCAACACCATCGACTCCAATCTCAGCTCCTGGATCACCTGCACCACATCCATTAATTCCTGGTTATAATTTTACTTCTTCAACATTAAATGGCAATCCATCGATATGTGTTAGTGAATCGATTTATTGCAGTAAGTCTTTTCTTTTCAATTTGTCCTCTTTTTTTTTACTAATATCACTAAATTGAATAACTAATAATAACCGCATGATGTAAAAAAAACAAACAGAAACAAAAATACTAAATTGCTTTACAGTTGCGAGATTGCATCCACTTGTACTTGAATATTGTATAAAACTAAAAAAGAAACGCTTGAGTAATATAAACTAATATCATTTTTCAAAACTAATCATTTAATACTCGGTGCTATGGTGTATAAATTAAATTAACCGACCAAGAAATAAAAACAAATGCACCATCTATTCTTATTTTTACCTTTAGCTCAAAATGATCCGGATAGCTGGGTCGTCATAGAGACGAACACAAAAACTGCATCAGGTGGGTCAAAAAAAATATTGTGTGGTGTTGGAAATAAAATTTGTGTTCTATTGATGTTGTTCACTGAGAAAAAACAAATATGTACATAGTTATAAAGCTTATTTAATTTGTGTTGTATTCAATTTATAAGAATTATTTATATTAATTAAAAAGAAAAACGCTATTTTTTGTAGAAAATCCTGAATCTCAATCCGATTGTGATACGAAGTATGCCAAATAAGAATATGAACTTTTGTTTTTTTTTAATTTTATTTAACATTTAGTTCAACAATTCACACAGATCCTGGAACCAATGTGACAGATCTACCTCAGACACCACATAGTAAACTTGTACAACAATCATCATATGTAAATAGATTTTAGTTATTTGAAATATATAGATTCCTTCTATTTTCTAGAGTGAACCCGTACATCCTAGCCGAGAAGATTTTAAATCAAAACTTGCAATTTCATTTGATGATGATGATGTAGTTGATCCAGAAAAACGAAGTATTAATGTAAGTTACTCAAAACATTTGTCTTAAACATATTTTTTAAATAGATTAAGCAAGTGTTTACTTTGAAATAAGAATGCTGTTTGAGGTCCTTAGAACGTTGAATATATAGCAGCGTCGCATAAAAAGAGAAGCAAAAATACATGAATAAATTACGAGAGAACTATCAGAATTATAAGCTGCTCAATGAGCTCATATTGGGTCCACGAGGAGATATCGTTAAGACTAGAAAAAACGTAAAAGAATTCGTCTCCACTGGCTGTTGAAACTAAGTTGTGACCGTTTTTTTTTGCATTTTGGATCCATTTTCAAATATTTATTGGAAATCAAACAACAGTGCTTCGGCCTGAAAATTTGTCTATAGACAGCTCTAATGCCTCGTAGTATATCTTGAAAGTTTCAGTAGAAAACAATGTTCATATGACAAGATATTAAATGTTGCAAAAAAAGTCGTTTATCATAGACGTATCGCAGAAATTATGTTTACTCGAAAATTTAAGAAATCGCTAAAGAAATACTTCGTTCGGGAGAAATCGTCAAGACATTCTATGAATCATCAAAATTATCGTTTGACAAAAACTTAGTTGCAAATTTTCACTATTTCAGTTTTTCATGAGAGCGATTCTTACTCAGCTTCAAATACTCATGAAGACGCATCTTTTTAGGTTTTTTCTTGTCTTACTGAGGCCTTCTTGTGAGCTCAAACATTGGATTACACTTGGAGCAGTAGTCTCTCCTGAGTATATTATAAAATTTAATTGATTCTAAGATTTTCTTAAGTTCACAAGAGTGAATTTCAATGAAAAATAAGATTTTCATATTGATTTGAATCACTATTTATCAAAGTAATTTCTTTTCTTATTTAGCTTTCAACGTCAATACAAGATTGGGTAATTGTATTTAATAATATAAAAATGATTGAAGAAGTACGACGATCATCTGGAACATTAATGAAGTAAAAAAAATATACAGAAAGATGAAATTAATCAATTCTTAATCGTTTTTTTAAATAAACTGTCCTCTTATTTAGAGCTCATTGGCACGGAGAACTTGCTGTAAGAATAATAAAACCTGATCCTAAAATAAGTGAAGTTGAATTTTTAAATCAATTTAAAAACCAAGTAAAAAAGAGATTTTTTTTTGAATGTATTTAAATATTTTTGTCTTTATTTAAAAGATATTTCGATTAAGAAAAGTTCGACATGAACATTTAAATCTATACACAGGTGTTTGTAGTATGTATTCATAGTTTATTTTTTATTAATTTTTTATAATCATTTGTTTATTTTGAATATTTTTTTTTTCTAAGTTGAAAATCCTAATTTTGCAATTGCTTCAAAGTAAATTCTTTTATTCTTATTTCAATAACAAATATCAATTTGTCTTTTCTTTCTAGTTGGATTCGTGGTGCAACTCTATTTGAAATGATTCATATACGTAATGATTTAATTCCGCTCAATTTAGCTGTAAATTATGCTGCTCAAATAGCTCAAGCCATGAGTTATTTACATGAAAAATCTATAAATCATATGTCTTTACGTACATCAAATATATTTGTACAAAATAATCGAATTATTTTAACTGATTATGGTTTAATACCATTGAGTAAATGTTATCGATATACAACTCATCCAGCTATAATAGCACCACGTGGATGGCTTAGTTATTTAGCACCAGAAATAATACGTAAACTCGATCCACGTCATGAACAAACACTTTTACAACATACACCTCAAACAGATGTTTATGCATTTGGGTAAATCAAAACTAAGCAATATTTTAAATAAATCAATTTAATGAATGAGATTTGTTTTTTTTTCTTTGGTCTTTTTTAAGAACCGTTTGGTATGAGCTTCTATTTCGAGAATTTCCATTTTCAAAACAACCACCAGAATATATTATATGGAGAGCAGGAAACTCACTCAAACAACCATTGAGTAGTGTTCATATTAGTAAAAATGCTAAAGTAAGTATTCATTTATTTTGAATGTAATTATATGTTCTTTCATGATTTTCTCAGCAACTCAATAAAGTAATGTTTTTGTGCAATGTCTCTATAGCTCCTATATCTCCAGTGGTGATAAGACGCCGGAAATGCAAAATTAAAGCGAATTTCTTTTTCATTTTCCTAGGTACGCTTAGATAGAACGCGACGAGCTGAGTAAGAATGCACGTGTTTGTACTTTTTGAAACAAGTTGTTAGGGGAAAAATTTCAATTTTTTTCGATGACCTACTTCTTTTTGAAAAGAAGGTCAATTTCCAATAAATAACAAATTTTCAATTTTTTTCTTCCCTGGAAATTTCACGAATGCTTTCTTCAGATTCAGCGTGACAAAATGAATCTAATAAGGTGATTTATGAATCACCTTATTAGATTCAATTTTTCACGCTGAATCTGAAGCAAACAAGTGTGAAATTTGAAAGAAAGAAAAAAAATTGATAATTTTTCATTTATCGAAAATTGACCTGTTTTCAAAAAAAAAAGTAGATCATTAGAAAAAACTGAAATTGTTCCTCTAAAAACTCGTTCCAAAAAAAAAATAAAAGCATATATATTGTTGGTCAGCTTGTTACGTTCTATTTAACAATGTATAAGAAAACAGAGAAAAATTTCTTTAATTTTACATTTCTATCAGATTACTTAATTGAGTTTTCGGAAATACCTGTACAAGACATTAGATGATGAATAAATTCTGAGATAATTGAAAAGATCTATCAATATAAAAGACTTTTAATTCTTTTAGAAAATTCTTGTTTTTCTTCATAATAGGATATTATTAATCAATGTTGGTCATTTGTACCAGATGATCGTCCGGATTTTGCAATGTTATGTAAATCTCTAACAAAAATGCCAGGTAAACGAACATTAGTTCGATCTCCGTCAACACCACTTCAGTATCATGGACATCAAATATCAAACCATCATTTTAGTTAATATATAACTCAATATGTTGCTGTCATTTGCATTCCTCTCATATCAAATAGGGATTTACAATGAGCATATTATCTGTTGTTTTCTCACTCTCACTCTCACACACTCTGTTTTTATGTTGTACAAAACAATTGTCCTAAAAATGAAGACAATATTAAATTGTGTGCAATAAGAAATATAATTATACAAAAAAAAACAATACTTTCTCTTTTATTGAGCTGATAAATATCGTTGTTTTTGTTTTTTGATCCCTGTTGTGAACATAAGTGACATTGTTTGTTTGTTTTTTTCCTTTAGCCGCATCTACGCATGTAATATTCTTAATATCAAAAAACAAAAAGTAATGAGCCATATAATAAAAATAAAACAACATAATAGAAAGAAACAGTATACGTTTTTCTTCGAATTTGTATTCTATTTCTTTGAGTTATAGACAATAAGGACAAATTGGGGATAAAAAAATCAACGCAACTGAATGAAAGAGACTATCATTGATGAACATTCATGGTACCTATAAATTTTCATAGTCGCTTTGTGAAGTTCTATCATCTTTGTATAAAACTTTGTTTTGAAAAAAGTTAGTTTAAAAGAAAATTGCAAGAATTTTGTCATATTCTATATCTCTGAAAATAACAACATCTCGCAAATGATCAGTTTCAACTATTTAGAAAACTCATTGAAGCATGTCTGCAGACATTTATTTATATACCTTTCGTAAAGCTTTGAACGATCCATCATTTAAAAAAATTCAAGATTTTATCACTCTCTCAAGATGAGGTACATGAAACACAAAAATATCTTTTGAACATTTTTATTGTGCTGAATGTTGTGAAAAGTAGCACTATTATGTATGTTTTTCATTTTGACCATGGAAGGAACTATCAGAACATGTCTACAGAAGTTTGTGATTACAGGTTTTGCAGAGCTTTTCAAGGTGCATCTTTTGAAAAAAAACAAGACTATATCATTTTTTTGTGCAGAAACATTCATGAAACAAGTGATGTTGCAATCATGTTGGGACACGTGCTATATATCAAAATCAACTATGAAATGGTTTACCAGTGAAGCGAAAATTTCTAATGTTTATCGTACGCTGTATACTAAATGTAAAACAAGGAAAATTTAGAATTTGCTGCGACTTTGACTCGTTTGCAAACTGATATGAATTAGAGTACTGTTGTCGAGGATAATTTAGTGAGTTTTTCTTAAAAACGTCTCCATTATTTTTGGACATTGAGAATGATAGTTTTGATGCATCAATGGATGATACTTCTACAAAAGTAATCAAATCAAATCAAGAATACAACAAAGTGATGAGAAAAGAAATAGTTAAATTACACTTGAATTCTACTTCATATTCTCATAAGTGGATAAAAATACTTTTTTCGATAAAAACAAAAAGATTCTTCTTCTACTCTTTCACAGGTCGTTTTTTATCATCTCTAGCACTTCTTACTTGAGTGAAATTCTGTGTTAGTTGTATAAAGCAGAGATGTCCATCGCGGCTGGAAATTTGCCGCTGCCGCACCGCGATGAGTTTAGAAACTTCAGATCTTACCGCTGCCGCGACGCACCGCGACGATAAAAAAAGAAAACTTGCCGCTACCGTGACGCACCGCGACGGTAAAAAGGAAAACTTGCCGCTGCCGCGCCGTGCCGCGATGCTAAAGGAACAAAATCTATCGCTTCCGCGCCGCTACCGCGACGTTACTACGTCGAATATCAGTATGTGACGAAATGGATAAGAGTCATGAGTTTGTTAGAGCTTCAATTGAAGAACAAACAATACAGCGAATGACCGAGAACACCTGAACACTTGAAATATTAAATTAAATAACGGGTGATGCAAAAGTTCTGAATTAATTTTCTTGTCAGTATAGCGTGGCAACGAATCGTTATAGAGACTTGATCTTTTCTCGTTGGAAAGAGCTAAGTGTCTAATACAAAATTGTGTAAAAAATATTTGATTCAAAATGTTTACCAAAAACTAAAAAGCCTTAAGAACACGTTGGACTGGAAAAGTGCCTTTCAACTTGTGGAATTCAAAAGAAGAAATTCCATGTGCAAAGAAAGTTGCTCTTTTTTCCGGCTTTTATCGGGTTTTGTAGCGCTACGATCAGGCATTGTAAACGCGGAAAAATAAGATTTTCAAGTGACCGGTTGAGTTCGAATTCAACATTTTTCTAACATCTTTTGTTAGTACAAATTTTTCACAGCTAATAAATGACTTCGAAAGAAAAGATTTCTTCCAACATCAAAGTTAGCAGAAACCGCCTATTTTATATACAATTAAAGCTTATTGAGTCTTCTATAAAAGTACATTATATAAAACAGAATTCAGCTTTTCTGTTAGACATCGTGTGCAAACTTTAATTGGATGTTCTAGACGAAAAATCAACTTTTTAATGAAACTGTTTCCTTTGAAGCCTGTAGTTTTGTAACTCGAATGTTTTTGTATGATTAGAGAGCCCACGTTGCATTGGTCAGACTCACATATACCGTGCTTCCAAACATCGAAAGCCGAGTGCAAAACAAATTAAACAAATGCATTTCTCATCTCTAATTTTGAGTTAAATTGAAACGCACTTTTTCGATACAACTCATTCTCAAGGCTTTTTTGTTTCTAGTAAACATTTTGAATGAAATATTCTTCCATATTTTTGTAGTAGACAACTTGCTCTTTCTAACAAGAAAAAGATTAAGTCTCTATGAAGATTCTTTGCCATACTATACTGAAAAGAAAATTAATGCAAAAATGTTGCATCAACTGTTAGAAATTACTATATGGATCATATAGAATACTCTTATTTCGTCTGAATAAGTGATATTTTAGCCTGGTAAAAGCGAAAGATTATGGGAACTTTGAGAAAGCAACTGACTCTACGGAAGCATAATTTGATATACGCATCAAGTACTTGAGAATCTTGGGCAAGAAACTTAGGTGCTATAGATAAATCTTGAGATCTATTCAGCTGGAGCAGATGAAGAAAAGTTCGCCTGTTGTGACTATATAGTGGTAAGGGAGTGAAACGATATAGATTACAATATTTGAAATAAAATATCGGAATATATCAATTTTATGTGCATTCTAAGTAAATTTTTTGTATGTGTTTGAAAACGAGGTTTATAGTTTCGTAAAAGAAGAATCTTGATAAGTACCAATCGAAACTTTAATTTTAACTGTTCTCTATCGATTTCTGTTGTTAATGAAGATATATCGATAATAACTTTATCATTCGTTGATGGTGGTGAAAGATCAACACTAGTCATTCAAAGTAATTTAATAGCACATGTAATATTATACTAAAGCAAAGACAAAAATCAAATCCATTATATCCAAAAAATAAATCAAATTCTTGGTCACGAAAAATTAATTTGTAAATAGAATAAGATGGTGCTTTGTTTTGTGGATTGTGCCAATCATAATAAGTTGACTTATGAACAGAAAAACAATTCACTCTTCTTCACTTTACTAAAATGACTGTAATATAGTTACTATGTCTATTCTGTTTGTATTTGCTTTCATTCGATACATCGTTAATCTGTGCTATCAATACTTATTCATGTCTCTATCGGTTATTTTACAATAAAAAAAAATGTCACGAAATGTGTTGAAATTTAAGGATCGAATAGAAAATTGGGTTGGATTTTCCTTTGCACGAGAATTAGAAATAGCTCATTTCCTTTTTTCGAGATATATCTGACATTTAAAACCGTTTACACTTAATAATGCTTCGAACATTTTCGTGTGTATAGTCTCTTATGTATATAAATTATAAATGGGGTAGAATATGAATTCTTGACAATCTAGTAACATGCTCCTACATAATGTTATCATGTAATTACATGATGCTAACCTTTATATTTCTATTAGACGATTAAAGTGTAATGAAAACATACTGATTGAGAAAAGAATCGGTTTACTTTGAATCGTAGTAAAATAATCTACTCAAGTATTAGTTTTTCTTGGAAAAAATGGAAATTTCAACCGCTGCCGCGACGCACCGCGACGGTAAAAAATGAAAACTTGCCGCTGCCGTGCCGTGCCGCGACGATAAAGGAGCAAAACTTGTCGCTGCCGCACCGCTACCGCCATGGCGGAAGCGGCGCGGCAGCAGTAGCGGCAGCGGTAGCACCACCATGGACATCTCTGGTACATGGTGAGATGAAATTATAACTTCAGTAATGAGAAACAAAATAATGTCAGAAAAGACAACATATAGTTTTACAATACATTAATTTAACACAGCACGTAAATATAGTATGAGGAAAAAAAAGTCGAGCTGACATTTGAATAGAATATTAAGAGAGAAATACAGAAGCACACGGACGGGATATTTTTCCTTTCACATGTAATTTCGTTCAATATATTGAAACTTGTGTAAAAATATACGTCTAACTAGAGATCTTTTGAAACTGTGTTAAAAATTAAAAACGAGCTTACTTTCATTGATCTTTGCTCGAAAATAAAGATGTACAGCTTAGGCTCAATCTTATGAGTACCCATTAGCCTGAGCTGTACACAACCTTCCTATCGACTAATCAGATTCGAGGAAGCTATCTCTAAGCTATTCTGAGGACCAAGCATGCCCTTATTTGAGTCATATGAAAGAGTGCTGAAAAAACTCCTTGATCAACCAGAACAACAATAAGTTTTGTCCTTACATTAGAAGAAAAACTCCTACTGAAATCTAATTCGTTGATCAACAGCCAATTAGATTTTAGTACAGTCTTTTCCTTTATTTGTAAGGACAAAAAATATTGCTGTTCAGACCAATTAGAAGGATTATCGGAAGCTCTCTCCCGTATGATCCGAAGAATATCTTAATGCGTCCTTATTGCATTAATAACAAATAATAACAGTTCATTGATCATTTTTATCTATTAAATTGGTTCCAAAAAACTGGTGAATATTTTGGACTGATCTTCAGTTCATTCTTAACATAAATAACAAAAGCTAAAACATTTTCTCATGTATCACTATTCTTTTCTTTTTGTTTCTTTCTTTTCTTTCACGTTACAATACACAAGCAAACGTTTCTCTTTCTTGCATTGAAATGTGCAAGAAAAGAAAAAGAACACAAAGAAAAGAATAGTGATACATGAAAAAAAGATATATTGCTGTCTTGTTATTTGTGTTAATAATGGACTGAAGATCAATCTGAAATATTCATAAGTTTTTTGGAATAAATTGAAGAAGAAAAACCGGTCAATGAACTCGTATTAATTGTTGTTAATCTACTTGAATATATTTCATTAAACGAAATCCATGTCTGCATTAAAGTGAAGAGAAAATCGAAACCAATTAATATTTGCCTATTTCAGTTACTTAAACTAAATTTTAAGTGAATGAAGTGTTAAGCAGGAAAACTTAACTTCATTTCACGTTAAGTTATATGGTTGACTCCTGTTCCGAAAACCTTTCAATAAGCAACTGTCGATTCTGTCCTCTGTGCAGTAGTAGAGAGCAAAAGCGTTCACGCACATATGAGTGCTCATGAGTATGAGTGATACACCCGTACTAGGAAATCCTTTAATAGAGTTGTTATCCGGATATCATCTTATATATAACTTTTATAATTTGGTCAAGATATGTTGAGCATTAAATGAAAATTAATCTTCTCATTTGCGCCTTCGTTCGTCATTTGTTACGCAACTATTTCTTTGTTTCGTGATACTCTGATATATTCTGCTATACGAACGTCATTCATTGTTGAATTAGTTTATTTTTAGTTTTAGTTCTAAACCTAGGGAGAACTAATGTCCTATATGTGAGTAGGTCCTTTTCTCCCATTTTCAACTTTACACTAGAAAATCTGAAATCAAGCTATTAAGTTTCGCAATATATTATTGACATTATATTTCTCGCGTCATAGAGTCAATCAGAAGCGTTGAAATATGACAACATCAAGGCGTAACATCGAAAGGTTTTCGTGCACAACGTCACGCTTTCTATTACCAACATTTCGTCGCCCATGTTATCGTGAAATAATCACAACAAATAGCATATGCGATCCAGAAAAAGAAGTCTTTTCGAAATGGAGTGAAGAAAAAGGACAATATTACCATTCTATTAACACAGCTCTTCTTAATGATGATTATGAAGTATTGAAAAAAAATGTGCAATTTATCAATAGCTTAAGAATGGCAATTCACAATAATAACGAGAATGAAACTCTCAAAGTTTATCGTGGATTATCTATTGATAGCAAACATGTGAAACAAGAATATAAAATAGGCTTAAAATTTTTATGGCCAACATTTACGTGTACATCAAGAAATAAAGATGTAGCACATCTTTTTGGCAATTATGTATTTGAAATTGATGCAACAGAGCATGATGGAATATATCGTAGTGATATTGCAAAATATTCAGTGTTTCCAGATGAACAAGAAGTTTTATTCTATCCATATAGTGGCTATATTGTTCAGAATATAATAGAGGATGCAAAAATAATTCAATTAAAATGCATTGATACGGCAGAAGTCGAATCGAGCTCCGAAAAAAATATTCCACGTTATGTTAAGCTTTTTGATTCGTTGAGAAATCTCTATGTTTATATGTATAAAGATAGCAATCGGGTTCATGCGTCGTGGGGTTTTCAACCAAATAGAATATTTTTAATTTCAGACAATAAGAGTGGTTATTGGGATGCGCCTTATCGTTATCATCATCGTAATGGACATTTTTTGGATATTGGAAATAATCAATGGGAAGAATATCAAAACAATAATCTCTTTGCAATGTTTGAGAGAGTTTATGATGATGATAATGACTGAAATAGATTGAAAAACAGACTGACATATCTCTTAACGAAAAGACAAGTTCAATCTACTAGTTTCAACTCAGGCTTTTTAGCAATCAATTTCCTGTCAAAAATTAATTAATAATAAAATAATAATAAACGAAATGTGCTTAAAATAAAAGTAATGAAAAAAATGCAAAGTTAATTTCGTGGACGCATTTCTTGTTGTTTATTAAAATATTAAAACACTCGTCAGGGTTCTGCCTTGCATTTCTAAGCATAAGGAAGAAAACAAAATTTCGAACAACTAAGGAATGCAGAGGGAACACATTAAATAAAAAATAAAATTAAATAAAAAATAAAATAAAATAAAAAATAAAATTAAATAAAAAATTAAATAAAATAAAAAAGAAAGAATTTGGGTGTGAGGTGCGAGTGCGGGCCGTCTCTTAATGCACATCGACACTCACACTCACATCCACATTCACACTCACCCTTGCATTCAAAATAAAATTGGATACGCAACTGACTTGATAGTCTTAACCTTATGTCATATTCAATATAAAGCATGAAAAGTTCTAGTCAAAAAATCTTTCAAGCTTTTGCTAGAATGTTTCTGTTTATTTATAGAAAGATCCAAATTGACATCAGTGATAAGCTGTGACAGAACCCTGAATTCTCAAAAACCTGTTAGATTTGAAACAAGAACCTAGTAAAATGCTGAAAAATACTTCCATTTATTACTGCTGAACTTTTAATCAACAGTACCATTTAAATCATGTTGGGATTCAGAAATTTGCAAATCTTGGACGAATCCTGAAAGATCCTTGGAGACTCTCTCAAGAAATGGATTAAATTGAGACGATGATTTCTTACCAGAAAGAAAAAATTGTGCTGTAGGAGCAGAAGGATATTTAAAACTATTGACTCGTACCTTCGTGTGACAAGAAGCGATTGTACCTTATACTTATTTTCACCACGAAAATGACTCTTTTTCTCATTTCTTAAAACACTATCTGACAGATGACGTAATGTGTCAATAATTTATTTTGTAGTATCAGTTAATGACAGAAATATTTCCTTTCTCCGTTGCACTCGACTTTTTTGCATAGGTCATAATGAATGTCTCTTTATTCAAATGAGAATATGCATCAGTCTATGACATGCAAAGTTGGCTATATTGATAATGTCTAAGAAAAGAAAAAAGTCACGCGTATTCAACTTTAGTTATAGCTTAATTTTATATCATGTTACTATTGAAATTATAACATGATACCTGCACTCCTGATAATAGAGCAAAGCATTTGTCTTTGAAAGTTATATCTTGTGATTTTTTACTTAGGGTATACCAAAAGTTCTGATCATCATATTTAAAAGACTTTTTCGATAAGGTTTCCTATTCAAAAATGAGAAACCAAATACACCATGTTGTAGAGTTTTTCGAGATGCATCGAGTAGTATATAGTAAATTCTATTTTCATAAGACTCTGAAAGAATTAGAATCAATTTACTGATAGACGACTACATATCCACATGCATCCATACTAGCACCTATACTCAACAATGATAAATTAATGAATATTGTTGTCCTTGCTATTAATCAAAAATATTTGTAAAATGCCTTTTCTCACATATGACTTTGTAGAACTTTTAAAGGACTACAATCTCATATGCGTAGCATCTCCGATCATCTTGTGGATGTGAATATGGATGGATGCATGTGTGAATGTGTAGTCGCCTATCAGTAAATTGATTCTCATTCTTTCAGAGTCTTATGAAAATAGAATTTACTATATACCATTAGATGCATCTCGAAAAACTCTACAACATAGTATACTTGGTGTCTCATTTTTGAATAGGACGCCTTATCGAAAGAGTCTTTTAAACATGGTGATCAGAACTTTTGGTACACCCTAAGTAAATCATTTTTCACACTATTGCATGTAAAATACCAAAAGTTTGAATAATGAGAAAAATGATGTTGTTAATGTTATTTATGAATTAATGTTTAAGTCAAACAGGTTTTCCAAAATAATTTCAAGCAACATCAAATACAAGTGGCTTAGCTTTTGGTGGATCACCAGCTCCTGGTGTTAAACAATTGTTGTATGATTATAAAAATCTAAGAGTTGGTTTTGACATTCAAGAATGGAGATCAGAACAAAAAGAAACTTACATGATTAAATATCAACCTGAAGGTGCTGAAAGTGATTCAGTAAGTAGAAAACTACTCGTTATGAAAACAAAGATTAATCGTGAGATCTTTTTTCTAGCCGACTTCGCAGGATTTTACAATATTCCATATCAATCCTTATTTCCTAGACTTGACAAAAGTAAAAGGACAATATTTCTTGTCTTTTTCTTGAAATAATTTTTTTAAAGAACGATTGTTGGTACAGGGTAGGCCCAATGATTGATATAAGGTCATTCCCAATCAGTTAGGTGCATGGTGTAGAAAGTTATGTTGAAAATCAATCTTGGTCTCCATTACTATCAAATCGTATCAATAAGGATGAACAATGCACCGAAAAAAAGTCACATTACCGAACCTAAGACGGATTCATGGAGAAAAACAGAGTTTCGTATAACATACGAAACCTTTAAAGGTTTCGAATTTTGAAACAAATTCTAAACTTTTATAGGTTTCGTACCAAATCCTACTGAATCTTTAAAAAAGATTTCTCGATGGATTACAATCATTTTGAAGGTATCAAAGGTTTTTACGAAACTCTTTCGAGAGTTTCGAATTCATTTCAAAAATGGTTCGGTATTATACCTTGTTTTTCAGTGTATCTGACAATAATGATTATGGTTGCTACAATACTTTCTTCATTGCATCCATACTATGCTTTTCCCTGTGATCCTCACTGTTGCCTTACTGATATATTATATAAAACTTAAATGTTGTACCTTTCGTGTTCTTTACCCGGTTTGTCACCTCACATTCTCTTTTGCAATTAGACTCAGTCGAGTTTACTGCTGGGTAAGATATCCCGCTCTGATGCTTTGCTAGCATTCAGAGTCTGTTATTGTGATATTTTTTCAACTTTGGACTGACCCGACGCGTTTAATTGTTGTGAGTAATATTAATGATGCACATGACATATTCACTCATCGTCATAAACAGGATCAAGGTCATTTAAGTGTTTTCAAACATTCGGTGTTCTTTTTCCTGGAGAACTTATTTGCAACACAGATCTGTTTGTCCATCTATCTCATTGACAAAATCTGCTGTTTTTCTTATTAAATGTCAATTACAAGCGATATGCCTCAATCATCCTTTCCTCATTTCATCGTAATAAGATTGTCTTCAATTTAGATTTGATTATTGATAATGTAGATAAGTTATTGGCCCGACGGCAAGGTGTCGACTTCACTCGACACATTCATTGTAACATTGTAGAGCAATGTAAAAATCTTTGCCTCCCATCTTTGGATTTATTCCCTTTGATTATGATCTCGGAACACTCAATCAAGACCATACTACAAGCAATGAACTCACTCAGCCACTACACAAGTTTTAGACATATTTTACTTGCTAGCCTATTCGCCGCCTATTCTCACTGATATCTACTTGAAAATGCACTGTCGATATCGACGGGCAAAACGGATCATCGAGCGACATTTGTATCGAATGATTGAGCAGGAATTGGGTGAGAGTGCAGAGACGATAGCGCAATAAAAGAGAAAATGTTAGATTGCTTCACTGGTTGCTTTCTTACAAAAAGATAAAGCAATGGAAGCGAAGAAGAGTAAAGAAGAAAGAAAAGGTAACATATCAATGTGAAAGAATCCGAATGGTTCACAGTTTATATGCATGATTAAGACCAAAACATAGTCAAAAGTTCGAAAAAATCTTTTTGTTTGTTCTTAATGTATGAACATTGTAGGTTTGTCTCATAAGGAGTATTGGATGAGATGCTTTTATTTCTGGTTATGGGCTTTGAAACAGCTTCAACTGTTTTGACACCGTTTATTCATTTCATGAGCACCAATCTAAGAGTGTAACAGAAGATCAAGGCAGCATTAATGAATAATTACGGCAACAGATAAGAACCATCACTCGAATAACTTGACTCATTGGCGTATTTGGATTATATTATCCAAGAAGTACTTCGCTTATTTCCAACGATCGATGGAGCAGCTCGCACGTTAATTTTTGACGATTGTCTTCCTGAAAGTGGTACTCATCTCTGCAAAGGTAATCAACTATTTATTCCATTTTATGTTCCTGCACGAGATACTCGACTATGGCCAATTGATCCAAAGTGTTTCTATCCTGAACGGTTTTTGCATGAGGACAAGGATCACCCCCCCCCCCCCCTCCCCCAATGTATTCCTGCCATTGGGTCACAATCATCGTCAGTGTGTTAGCCAAGATTTGACTCGATCCGAACAGAAAATAGTAACAGCAAGGTTAATGCAATATGTGATATTCGGTGATGGTGGTCCTTAAGTCAATGCAAGTATATCTTTAGCAAGGTCCACTATAATGCCCAAACATGTTGGCATCACCACTTAGTTTGACTGACATCGTTTTTTTTTAATATTAGTTTTAAAATTTAGAAAGAAAAATCAACAAATTTTTATCGTTGTTCACTATTTGGCGATGAATGTGTTGTCTTGAGCAAGTTTTGAGTGAAGCACAAATTCCTTTCTTTATTTCTTGAGGAGTGTGCGAATGTGAGTATAGGTCAGTGTGAATATGTGAAGAAAAAGTCTTCCTGCTATTCCACACTCACCCTCTTAGTGATACTTGGTTCACCAGCTGTGCCAAATATCGACATAACATTATTCGTCAAACTAAGTGTACAAGAAAACTGGGGGGTAATCCTTTTTCGTCCCTAATTTTTTTTACGGACATCCGGCAGAGCAATTCGCTCCGAACTTCAATTTCTTTGAAAAAGTCCGGATGTTCGGAATGAAACGTCCAGAAGATCGGAATGAAAACACCGAATGTTCCGGATGAAAGTCTGTCAGGTGTTCGGAATCGAATAAAACAAGGTTTTTTCGCGATTTTGTCTTAAAAAATGT